TGAGTGAAGAAAAGTGAGCTCCTCCGAGTCCTGCAGGGGCAGACTGTAGATGCTGGAATCTTGTGCTCTTGGTGAAAGTGCTCACCTGCAATCCATGTTGGGTCAAGGGCTTTTCCCAGACGCTGCTCAAGGACCCCACTGTTGGACGCTCCCTGCAGCAACAGGGACGTGCCGGTGTTGAAACACTTCAGAGAAGTTGTGCCACTCCCTTTCTCCTCCCTGTCCGCCTTCGCCCCACTCACCCTCGGTTTTGCTTTTGGTCTCGTGACCCAGCTTCTGCTTTTGAGTCCCACTTCTGCAGCCGATTTTCCACCTGCCTCGTGATTGCTATCGTGTCATCGTGTCCGTACCTGGGACCGGGACCTGCTGGTGTGGGAGCAGCCACACTGGGTGGGGAGAGGGTTGCATTGCTGGCTGGACTCCTAGATCCAGCACCTAGGCTTAAAATTGTCTTTTCCAGGGGGCAGAGGAGACCTCTAAGAAATGCAGTGCTGCCTTTTTACCTTCTGTAACTATGTGTCAGTGTGAGCCACTGAGCAGCCACTGATACAGCTTTGCCATTGGATTTGGCCAAGAAAAGTTGTTTCTGAATGAAGAAGGACCATGCTGGGCACTTTTCCACCCAAGCAGGGGGCTTGGTGTTAGTGGACGCGGCTGCTGCAGGGCAGGCGCTTGGGGAAGGAGGATGTGAGCATTTTTCTGTTGCCCACAACAGGAGAGCTGCTGGAGGAGTCCCAGGTGGAGGCATCCAAGCTGCGGCAGAAGGCAGAAGACCTTGTGAAGGACAACAAAATGCTGATCGCATCATCTGCCTTGGAGGACCTGGTGGAAACGGGAGGTAGGAGACATGAGGCTCCCTGGAGAGGGGTAACCTGATGGCTCGGGATCCTGAGCTCAGGGGAAGGGAGAGGGTGTGAAAGAGACTCTTGTGAAGGTTTCTTGCAGCCTTGATATCTCTGGAGTGTATCAAACCACTGCCATTCTCCCTTCTACTGGAGGGAGGTTTCTGTCCTATTCCCATAGCTGGGGTATAAACCATCCGTCGGTGTCTGACGTAATGGAGTGTCTGCTCTCTGCATCCCTGCGCCAGGCGAGGGAGAGGCCCAGCTCTCCAAAAGGCTCACGAGGCTGTGTCCTCTCGTCTCTCTGCAGCCGTCGGCCCTGATCTCGGCTCCACACGAACTGCCCCAGGCAGCGCCCAGCCAGACTCGGAACCACGGAAATCTCCTCCAAGTGTGAGTCTGGTGAATGCGAGAGCTGATGCTAACATGGCTGGAAGGAGAGACTGCCTCTATTTAAAGCAAAAGGAGGCAGCCTTTAACCTCTAGAAACAGGGATAAATCTTAAAGGGATGTGTCAGCTTCCCTGCTGTGCTCCCATCCCAGCTGTCCCTGCCTCCGTGTGGTGGGAATCCTGGGTTGCCTTCCCCCAGGGAGGCCTGACCTGGCTGCCTCCCCTTGCAGGGAACCTCCTCGGAGTTTGAGATCGTCCCTGTCGAAGTGCAGGGGTTTCCCCAGGAGAGCGGAAGAGTGGTGAGTGGCCCTGGTGCCTGCGGGATTTGGTGGGTGGCAGGCAGAGAGCTGAGTCGGCGGTGGTACCGGCAGCGTGGGAGGGTGTGTGGACAGGCGGTGATGTGCCCCGGTGATGTAGCTGCTGGCAGGGACAGGCAGGACTGGGGAACCCATGTCAAGGCAGCCCTTGGGCAAACCACAGAGGAGGGATAGACTGTGCACAGGGGTTTCCCAGGGAAGCAGAGCCAGCCCCACGTACAGCCCCAGGACTGCTCCTGCTGCAGTGCCCAGCCTCCAGTGAGGATGAGGGAACCTGAAGGGAGGGAAGGAGGGATGGGTAGCCCTGCACATCCCTGATTGCGTTGGCCAGAGAGGCTCCAGGAGGGGTTGATTCCTCCTGGGGTGCAGCTATGGGGTGATGGAGAATGGGGTGGCATCTGCCTGGCAATCAGCTGCAGGCACCTGAGCCAAGGGCTAGTCCTGGGCTCGGGCCCTCACTGTCTTCCCTTGCCGGCCAGTGCTGCTGGAAGGAACTGGCTACGCTGTGCCGTGCACACACCCTCCCACGGCAGTTTCAGGGCTGTAAACCCAAGGGCTGGGGACACGCTGGGCTCCTGGCCCCACACAGAGCTGCCTGGGGCATTCCCCTGGGCTGGCTGAGTCAGCGGGGCTGGGAGCAGAGGAAGGTGTGCCAGCACATCCCCACCTCCTCCCCAGCAGCGTGCCGGGCTGGGTTCTGTTGTGCTGACAGCATCTCCTAGGCAATGGAGGAGTCAACCAGCCACATCAAGGGAGATTGAACTTGTTGGGGATACCCCTCATGTGTGCATGGGGATAGGCCCTGACGGTGGTGGTGGGTGTGCCCTAACCTGGGCTTTCCCAGCCACCTTTTAAATCCTACACTTAGTTCTCTTGGCTGTTGCCTGCCAAAGAGCTCAGATTCCCAGCTCCTGGTGTGCCATGGTGGCAGGGAAGCTGCAAAGAGAGGACAGGAGGAAAGAGAAGATGGGGACTGGGGTAAAAACACCCCTCACGTGGCAAGCCTCAGCTCCCAGTGCAGACCAGGGCATATGTGGAAGGAACGGTCTCAGGAGCTGGGACTTCTAGTCTTGCTGCCAACGGGGAGAGCTCAGGGGGGAAAAGGGACCGGAGTAGAGATGCCTCCAGTGCTTTCAGTGAGCAGGGAGCATGGTCTCTTCAGGCTGCTGAGGGCCACAGGGGATCTGTGGGCTGGTAGAGCTGCTGCCATATAGTCCCCTCTACCTGGGCACTTGGTGTCCCATGTCCAGAAATGGGGAATCAAACCTTTACAAAACTGACACCATTTTTCAGCATACTGAGCACTGTTGCAGAGTGTCTCGGTGCTGGCCCAGCTCCCCACCACAGCCCTGGATGGGAGACGGGGCTGACCTGCAACAAGAGGGAACTTTGCAATGCACTTTGAACTGACCTGACCATCCTTCATCCCCAACTGATTCCCAGGACTGGGAGCAGCCCCAGAATGAGGATGGCAACCTGCTGCCTCAGCTGCAGCAGCTGGAGAACACGCTGAGTGGCTGCGCCAAGGAGGCCAGCAAGGACCAGGTCTTTATGCGCATGGGCTACATGGCCTCCGAGCTCAAGCGTCTGGCCTCCAAGGTGCACAAGAACGAGCAGAGAACATCATTCCTGCAGGTGAGCAAGGGCTGATCAGGCTGTTTGTGGAAATTTTCCCCTTTTTTTGATTTTCTTTTTTTCCCACCAAGTCCCTCCTGTCCACTCCAAGGTGGACACCCACCTCCATGCCAGGGCTTGGTGGGAGGTGGGTATCCAGGCAGGCTCCTGGGGCTGACCGTGGTCCTCATGCTGCCGGCATCTGCCCCTCAGACGCTGTGTGAGACGCTGCACAGTGAGAACAAGGAGCTGCGAACCAAGCTGGAGCGGGACCTGGAGCAGAGAAATCAGGCGCTGGAGAAGCTCAGGTGAGGGTGGGCAGTGAGGAGGGAGACAGGGCTGCCCTGGGTGCTTCTTCCCACTGATCTTTCCCTCTCTGCTTGCAGGTGCGAGAACCAAGAGCTCCGGAGGATGGTGACGCTGAGCAGCCAGGACAGTGGGAAGAGGGAAGCTGCTGAGCAGCAGCAGGTGAGGAGGCAGCATCACCCTCAGAGAGGGCTGGGAAAGAGATGGGGAGCCCACTGACACATCAGCAAAGGTGGTCTCTTTAATTTTAATTGAGCCCCCCGGTGTGACCAGCAGGACTATTCAGGGTCTTGAGGGGATGGGGGAGGCGGTGAGAGGGGAACCGGCTCGAGTTTAGCCAGCCTTGGGCATGGCCTGAGGGTCCCCCCGTGCGCGTCCAGCAGAGCGGGGCCACGGTGGAGAAGGCGCCGGGCAGAGGAGAGCTGGAGGCCAAGGAGAAGAAGGTGAAGATCCTGGAGCACCAGCGCAGGGAGGTGAGGACCAGGCTGGGAGGGAGGCATTCTGAGGAGGGGGGAGCGGGCAGCAGGTGGGCAGGGCTGGGGCGACATGGGGAGACATGCAGGACTGTGGAGCCACAGGGAAGCTCTGCTGGAGCTGAGATCTCCATCCAGCTGGTCCCAAAGGTGGTGCTTTCGTGATGGGAGTCTGCTGGGAACTGCCACAGCTGGCTTGGGGCAGGAGTTGGGCTCCCCTTCATCCAGCCCTTTCTTTCCGCAGCTGCTGGAGGTGAATAAGCAATGGGATCAGCACTTCCGAGCCATGAAGCAGAAGTATGAGCAGAAGGTAGGGCTGAGTGCTTGGGGACAGATCTCTAACGGGTGCTAGCTGGGGAGACTCAGAGAAGACTGGGTGCAGGGGGAAGTTTTGGAGCTGCCTGTGCCTCCTTCCTCCCCAGTGTGGGTCTTTCCAGTCTCGCCAACATCCCCACTCCCTCCCGGCAGGTCACAGACCTGCACCAGGAGCTGGCTGAGGCCCGCAGGGCACTGACTGAGCTGGAGTTGGAGCGGGAGCAAAAGCAACGGGATTTTGACCGCAAGCTGCTCCTGGCCAAGTCCCGGATTGAAACAGAGGAGGTGAGTCCCTTGGGAAGGGTAGTGGGGAGCTGCTGGCCCTCTTGCCCTGCCCTGACTGATCTCCCATCATGCGTCCTGCAGGCAGAGAAGGAGAGGCTGGCCATGGAGGTGAGGGACCTGCAGCAGAGGATGCGGTTCCTGCAGGAGCAGCTGGCTCCGGTCACGAGGCAGCGGGAATACCAGGAAAAGGAGATCCAGAGGCTCAACAAGGTGGAGGCCAAGGCACAACCCTTCCCTGCAAAATGTCTTTTATGTTCTCCAGCCTTTTCCCCTCTCTCAAAATTAGAGCTGACCCTAATCAACCCCTTCCTGCTCAGCTCGTTGCCCAGGCAGGAGCTCATGTTAGATGATAGCTCCCAGGGGAGAGTGTCTGTAGTCGTTCTTGCCCAGTTAGACCTGCTTCCCATGCTGGGCACATGCCCATGGCCCTCTGGAGATGTCATGGGCACCGCACTTCATCCTGACCCCGCTCCCTGCTCCTCCTCTTCCTCTCTAGGCATTAGAGGAGGCCCTGAATGTCCAGGCCTCTCCACCACCCATCTTTGCCAGCACCATGGAGCCAGTAGGGAAGCTGCCACATCAGGAGCTGCTGACCCAGAACGAGCTACTTAAGCAGCAGGTAGGACAGGAGGTGGAGAGAGCTTGTAGTACCTAGTGGGGGTCAGGGGTGGCAACACAGTGGTGGGAGTTGACTTGGAGGAGGTATCAGCATCCCTCCTTCCTGCCAGGTGAAAATTTTTGAGGAGGACTTCCAGCGGGAGCGGAGTGACAGGGAGAGGATGAATGAGGAGAAGGAAGAGCTGAAGCAGCAGCTGGAAAAGCTGCAGAAGCAGTTGGTCCTCTCCAGCAACCAGGTGAGCAGTTCTAGATATCAACAGCAGCGCTCTGGGAGCCCCATGTCCGCCCAGGGTGTGTCAGAGGTGCTCATCCACAGTGTACAGCCCCTGTACCCATAGTGGAGCAGGGCTGAGGTGGGACAGAAAGGCCAGAGAGGTGCTTTTGCTGCTGCTTGTCATCCTTGGCTCTGCACTAACCCCTCCTGTACCCAGCTGCGAGCCTCCAAGGATGACTGCCAGAGGGAGAAGGAGGAGAAGGAGAAGCTGAAGAAGGTGTTGAAACAACACAAACAGGTGAGGATGAGGGGAAAAAACCCTTCTCGGGCAGAGGGGCTGGGGGCTGCAAGCCTGGCCTCAGCCCCTCATCCACCATGGGAGGGGTAGCTCCAGGCAGGGCAATGGGGGGTGGTGGTGGTGGTGGTCTGCCCTTCGGGGTCTCCCCAGCATCTCCCCTGGCTCCTCGTAGGCTTCTGGAGAGAGGCTGCACCCCGAGCCGCTGCCAGGGCCGCTGGGCCCTGCCTGCCCCATGTACCAGTATGAGTACAGTCCCCCCGTGGCTCATCCCATGTACCACGGTTTCAACGAGTGGCAGCAAGTCCGATACCCACCAGCGATGCCAGGCGAGCACACACCAGGACAAAACTTCCACCATTATCCCCCGGTGAGTGTTTACTTGTGCCAGCACAAGGGGAAGCAGAAGGTTCAGAGCAAATGGCTACTCCAGAGCCACCGAGCACGGAGCTGAGCACACATGTCCTGTTGGCACATGAATGCTCAAGCCCTCTTCCTCCCTCTCCTTTCTCTTCCTCACGCCCCAGCAATCAAACACAGAGCGCAGCCTTATGGTTCACATTCCTGGTAATTTGCCATTTCTGTTCCATCTCCTCCTGCAGCCCGAGTATCACTGGCGCCCGCCCTGCGCCATGGCTCACAGCCAGAACGCCCAGGCAGTGGCTGGAGTGAAACCGGTCCCCAAGGACTTGGGTAAGGCTCAGACCCTTGGTGACAGGAGTGCTGCTCCTGTCCTTCACCCTGAGAACGTGGACAGTTGGTTGAATGCTTAGAGGAGGAGGGATTGGGGGGCACAGCTTGCCAGGCAGTGGCCAATACCCTTCAGCCCTCACCTCTGATCAGCTGAGGGGATGATTCTGCATGGGCTTGGTCCCTGCTGCATCCCTGCAGCATCTGAAGATGAGTGTGACTGAGCCCTAGCAGCCCACTGGGGTTATGGCAGTCAGTGCTTTGGGGATAACGACCATCCCGTGGCTGGTATCCCTCCCGTGGGGCTCAACTGGGCACGAGGAGCCGTGCTCACCCTGGGCCACCCTTCTCTTGTGTCTCAGAACAGGCAGGTCCCAGACTGCCCTAACACCAAGGACCAGCTGCGCTGCAAGACCAGCAGAAGAGGAGTAGGGTGTGTGTATTGTGCCCATGTGTATATATCTCGGAGCTTCCTCCGGCTGCCTATCCCCGTGCGTGGACACACAGTGGACGTGGCTGCAGCTGTGGCCCGGAGCGGCTCAGCAGCACATCCCCATGAGGAAAATGTGAAGGAGGGACTGGAGGTGCCATCGTGGCCAACGCAGAATCAGT